CACCCTCCATCCCCACCATGAGGGATACTCTAACCTAAGCGCCCAACCCAATCTCAACCGCGGAAGCCAACAAGCGACGAGCCAAAACCCACCTTAAACCACCGCTCCATCCAAACCTCGCTTGCTAGCCCCCTCTCTCGAACAACTTGGCTCCAAAACAAGCGCAACGACAGATGATTGGGACGCGCAGCAGATCTCCGGGGCGCCAGTCAGCTTGACATGACGTCTAGATACAATTTCGCGCCTATTGCTAGCCCGATAAGCTATCGGAGTGACTACCTGAGATAGGGCTGACGTCTACCAGCGAAAAAAACGGCGCAAACGTGCGGTGTTTGGTACGCTAGGTGGATAGTTTGGGGCTTGAAGAGGGCAGGTTAAGCGCGGGGTGGGTTATAGGGCGGGATTATAGGGCAGATAGTCTTGTGATGGCCTTGTGCGTAGTTGGGTCCACACGGAGTAGGCGATACACGCTGGGAATCATGTTGCGACGGGTCGTTTTACGGGGCGGGCGTGAGGTGTATTTTGGGGTGGGCTGATGGGGCCGCGGGTTTGGTACGGGTCGATCGTCATATGCGTAGGGTTTGTGAACCAAGTTGTTGGTTCCTTCTCTCCCGAGGTCGAGTAATGCGCGGCTATGTCGAGTAATTCGTAATTCGGGTAGTTGGGGCTGGATATGTGTATCCGTGGTGGTTGGTGGTAATTGTAAAGTTGGAGTGTGGTGGAGAAACTTGATGTCTCTGATGATTGCAATTGCTCTTGTTCGAGAGCATCCTTGTGTGTGAGAATGGTATGTGTTGCGGAAATTATGAGTAGGTGCTGCTCGCTCTAGGTTATCGCAGTACTAGGAGGTAAAGTGGGTGGAAATCAGAGCGACATCCTTCATGAAATGACTTGTACGACATGTGTTACCCGGTTTACGCTGCACAAGCATGTTTTACAGTTGCATACTATGAATTCTCGAGTGTGTATGTGTAACAGCGTGTTATCTTGTATATAACCACCATCGATGATACAAATGTCGTGTATGTTTACCGTGAAGAACTATTACATCACCTTTCTGATCACAGAGGAATTACAGAGATGATATCCTTCTGAGTCCTCCATCAATTGTCCGATCCCCACTTCAATCCTACTCAAGCACCCATCCTTGTGATACTTAGGCAAATCGACTCTCTGAACATACAGTATTGGGCTATGCTACACCCTCTCCATCCACATCAACAGTGCAGTCCCTTGCCGACACTATCTTCCACTCCCCATCCGAAATCTGTTTGACCTGCCAAAGCGGATCGGCACCGGGACCGGGTGCTACCATCGGATAAGCTCGCAATAGAGTCAAGACATCCCCGTGGTCGTATCCACTGAGGTGTAATTCCAAGCCATCTTTCGCCCGATCCTGAAGCCACGTGTTGAATACCAAGTCACCGAGGAGATTTGCTGACGACCCAAGACGACAACGAACGGTCATCACTGTCTTTGTAGTGAATCGACGTCTTCGGGCCTCAAGGCATTTTCTGCAGAATGCGACGACAGCAGTATAAGCAGTATGCTTCGTACCGCCATGTATAAAAATATGGCTTTCTCGCAGGCTACGACCTCCTATGTCGATAAAACGCGGGATCCAGGTTTTAGGATCTTTGCCAGCACCAGCGCTATACCATTTGCGTGTACTGCTATCATACTCATGCTGCTCAAGCATCGTACCAATACTGTTGTAACTGTTGCTGAAGCTATGAAAGCTCGTCGAGTCGATAATGAAGTGTGAGGGTTCACCACGTAGCGTCTCTAGCTTGGGGGCGAGGGAAGGTGTTGCTTCTTCATGGATCAGACGGCAAGTTGCTAATAGGGCGACTGGCAGGCTCTTGACAACGAGTGTTATGTATGATGCTGGCGTTGTTTGGTCTTCAGACTTGGACTTGAAAGACGGATCCTTGAGTCGATAGTGGCATGTCGAGGTCTCGATTTCCTCGTAGACCATATATCGAAACTCTGCGGGAAGGTCCAGAAATCGGAACGGCTTGTCTTGGGTAGATGAGCAGGCTGCCTTCGAAGAAGATAGTGACGCCTCCATAGCGTTGGATTTGAAGTTGCTTGAAATGACGCCTTATTGGTTCAGTCCGCTTGGAGTTGAGGAGCAATTCCAGTGGATTGATCTCGTAGTGGAAGCAGTGTCAGGCCGTTATGAACAAACTCAAAGCTGCAAGTCTCATGTACTTGACTACTGTGCCCTAAGCTTTGACTTTGGTTGTTGCCTCCTCCGGTCTGTTGTGAAAACGATGTTTTCATTCTTGGTCGGCATTCACTATGCTCGAAAAGTAGGGTGAGAAGCTACCTTATGTGTAGTAAGGCATCTTGAAAACTCAAAACCGGTAACTCAAGAACAGTATCGTTTTCGTCGCATGAATCATATCGGGTATCTCAACCTTCCTTCTACCTCACCTCTTCCCCTTCTTCCCACCCCCCTTTCCACTCTTCCCTTTCTTCCCACTCCCCGTAATACTCAACACATCCTTCTTACTCAAACTCAGCGTCCCACCCCTAAACTTGCCTATACTAGGCCCGCCAACCCCCCTCTCCCTCTTCTTCTCCGGCCCCTTCTTAATCACCCTATTCTCCCTCTCTAGCACAATACCCGCTTCCTTTGCATCCGCCCGCCTCTTCTCTTCCGTTGTCCGCGCTTTGTCTATCATGTGTTTGCGCTGTGCCATGGGCATCTTCTTCTGTGTGAAGATGGAGCCTTTGGCGCCGAGCGCTTGGAGGTGCAGGTCTTGTGATTTGTGGCGTGCGGCGCCGGTTGCGACGAGGGTGGGTGTGGAGGTGCCGGAGGAGGAGGCGGAGAGGAGGTGGGATTCGCGGAGGAGGCGTTGGAGGGCCATGTCGTTTTTTAGCATGGAGGATTCGTTGGGGTCGGCGTCGTCGTTTTGCTTCTTCTTCGTGGTGGTGTTCTTTGATGTCGTGGTGGATGCTGAGGTGGGCGGTTTCGACGACATGAAGGCTTTCATCTCTGCCCGTTCCGTCTCGTCGAGTTCGCGCGTTGGGTCTTGATACTCGATGACTTCGACGTCATTTTCGTTGTCGCTTATGCCTGACCAGTCCGATTCCTCTTCCTCCTCTGCTTCATCTTCCACGGGCGCTTCCTCTATCTTCGGTTTCTTAGGCTCTACCGGCAGAGGCTTGAACTTTGCTTCGAATGCGCGCCGGAATATCGCCTGGAGATCTTCTGCGCCGGAGTCGTCGCCCGAGCCGGAAGAGGGAGAAGGTGATCGCGACGGTTGTTCGAATTCTTTGCGCGTTATGCGCTTCCGTTTTCCGAGTGCGGGTGCCATTATCGTGTCGTTGTGTTGTTTTGTGCTGGGCGCAAGCCGGGGCGATCCAAAAGTTCGACCTGGGAAATTCTTAGCGCCAAATGCTCGCTCGGACCTCCGTCTTTCACTCGACCCCTCCCCCGCAACACCACCATCACAACAGCCACACATATCGCAAGATGACGCGTTTCCGCCCTTGTATAGACCTACACGCCGGAAGCGTCAAGCAAATCGTCGGCGGAACGCTCAACACAACCACTCCCGACGTCCTAAAGACAAACTGGACCTCCGAACACCCCTCCGCTTTCTACGCCGACCTATACAAACAACATGACCTAACAGGCGCACACGTCATAATGCTCGGCCAGGGAAACGACCAAGCAGCGCAAGAAGCATTGGAAGCATGGAAAGGCGGCATGCAAGTCGGCGGCGGGATCACCGAGAAGAACGCGGCTGAATGGATTGAACGAGGCGCGGATAAGGTGAGCTTTGCCCCGTAACAAGACGCGCACTGTCATGAAAGGTAGATTGAACTAATCGACGCGCAGTAGGTAATCATAACATCGTACCTCTTCCCCTCCTCCACCTTCTCCATGGACCGCCTCCGCGCCGTCCTCCAAGCCCTCGACAACGACAAAACAAAACTCGTCATCGACCTCTCCTGCAGAAGGAAAGACGACAAGTGGTTCGTTGCGACGAACAAGTGGCAGACCATCACCGATTTTGAGTTGAACCAGGGTAAGTACAACATACCTAATCCCTTTTCCACTACCTCAGCACAACACCTAACCAACACAAATAGAATCGATATTCCTCCTCGAACCCCACTGCAGCGAGTTCCTCATCCACGCCGCCGACGTCGAAGGCCTGCAACGCGGTATCGACCACAAACTCGTTACCAAGCTGGCGGAATGGTGCAGCATACCCGTCACGTATGCGGGTGGAGGCCGGTCGATTGAAGATCTAGAACTGGTGAAGAAGCTGAGCAAGGGCAAGGTGGATCTTACCATTGGCAGCGCACTGGATATCTTTGGCGGTTCGGGCGTCAAGTTCCAGGACTGCGTCAAGTGGAATGCGGAGCAGGCATAGATGAGCAGCAGGTTGCATAACAGCATGAGACGCTGGTGGCTGTCAGATGCTCGGAGGTGTAGAATTTGGGATATACATTGGATTGGTGACTGCATAACTTAGAATGCCATGGACATCAACCCATCACACCAAGCAAACCGCAACAAAATGAATGCAAACAATCACATTCTTCCCTCTCTCGGCCCATCAAACTGCCCTTTTATCTAGAGGCAGACGAGCCAAACTAAGCTTTCACTAGCTACAATAGCCATGCATGCATGCATCAAACTCCACTCTGAAAAGAACAGAAAATCCCCCCCTTGAACCCCAAAATCGTGTTACTCAATCAAGCATCTTAAAACCATGGGGGGAAAAGCCGCGCCCGAATGTGGTGTGGGAGCGACGAAAAACCGTGTAAGCGCGCAATTGAAATGCCTGGAATGGAATCTTTCTTCAATCTTCTTTCGTCCAGGTCTTTGCAAGTTATACAGTGTGGCAATAAACGACATGTAGAGAAGGTATAAGGTGATTCAGTGTCACGCGGTCGTGTTTGAGGACGTGTGTTGTCATCTAGTACTGTTAGTAGATGCTCAATGTATGGTGTGTAATGGTGCAACTTACGTTTTTTCAAACGCCAGCTCGTGGTGTCCCAACTGCACTTGTCATTGTGCTAAGACCACCGTGCACGCTGCCACCGTCGTCGTAATCTTGCCATTCTGGGAACTCCGCGGTTGCTTCACGGAGCTTGTCAAGTGCGGTCTGTTCGATGAGGTTGGCGTCTTGGAAGAGCAGCGATGTGTCCTCATTGTATGTGCGACAGTTGTTACACAACAATCCAAGATCTTGGCGGAACTGCTTCACAGACTGGTACTCCTTCTTGTTGATCTTCTTCTCGATCTGCTTCATGCAGATGGGGTTCTTGATCAGCTGGTAGTAGTCTGGGTAGTCCCACTTGTCCGGCAGTTCGATGAATGGGTCGATGATACCGCGGTTGGGAATGTTCGGGTCTTGCGACTCCTCTTCCAGATCGTTGAGAGCTTCGTAAACAACATTGACAACCTTCTGAAGCGACGCTCGCTGGTCAGGAAGCAACATGTCCTTGGCTGGAGCAGGTCGACCGCGCTTCCGAGGTGCGAGGTCAACGTCGAGAGAGGCTTCGTCAGCTTTGCGCTTTTCAGCCTTGGGTTTACGACCTCGCTTCTTCGGCATGGGTTCTTCTGAACTAGCACGTGAAGGCACAGGCGAATCCTCGTCACGCGCTCCGCCACTCTTCCTACCCCGCTTGGCGACCTTGGCTTCTTTGCGGGCGATAGCAGCTTCGATAGTGTCTTCGTCGTTGTCGACAGCCTCCAACCACTGCTCCTCGGTAAGACCGTCATCGTACTTGACGCGAGTACGCTCTCGAGCGCCACGACCAGCTGGTGTGTCATCCTTCTCGTCGACAATGGGCGCCTCCTCGTTAAGGTAGATGTCGGGTAACTCGCTCTCACCGATCAAGCGACCGAGCGGCTTACCTGGACCATATGGATCTTCAGCCGCACGCTTCCTATCCATCTCCTGGAATGTTATCAGCTCATGGTCGTGACGCATCATGATTTGGTTCAGGTCGTCATCGTCCATCTCCTCTTGTTCAAGGCTCTCAGCCGCTTCAGCAGACTCCAACATGATACGCAACATGGCGTCTCGCTCGTCATCCTTGGACTTGTTGTCGAATTTACCAGCTTGGATGACCTTGCCGTCCATGTCCAACTTGTAGTTGGCTCGCTCGAGAATCTTCTCTTCAACCGAGTTGGAAGTGATAAGACGCAGAATGCGGACCTCGTTCTTCTGACCAATACGATGAGCACGATCCTGGGCTTGTAAATCCTGATGAGGATTCCAATCCGAGTCGTAAATGATGACTGTATCGGCGGTTTGCAGGTTCAGTCCAAGACCACCGGCACGCGTTGAAAGCAGGAAGCAGAAGTATGGTGAGTCGGGAGCATTGAACAACCTCAGCAGATCGGATCGGTCATCTGCTTTGGTCGCTCCGTCCAGACGCAGGTACATCATGCCTCGCAACCGTAAGTAGTCCTCCATGATGTTCATGATTTGTGTCATCTGGAAGAACATGAGGACACGATGGCCTGTAGCCTGGAACTTGGGTAGAATACGGTCAAGCAATTCGAATTTGCCGGCCGCGCGCCATAGAAGATCGTTGGTGCCCTTGGTTGGATTCATGACATCCTCAACCTCTTCGAACACGAACGGATGGTTACACAGCTTACGCAACTGCATCAACATGTTGCTCAGACCGCGCATACCAGTCTTTCCGCCCTTGCCGTCGCTGACCATGAGTCGATTGTGTGTAACAAGTTGCTTGTACAGCTTCGCCTGAAGAGTTGAGAAGTTGCACTTGATCACGCGCTCGGTCTTGTCGGGAAGATCCTTCTCGACATCGCGCTTGAGACGACGGAGCAAGAAAGGCCTAAGCACCTTATGAAGACGACGAATGACGAGCAACTGCTCTTCTTCTGTAAGCTCCATTTTGTCTTGACCTCCAGTATTGGCGAAGGGAGTGTTGAACCACTCGTCGAAGGAAGTGGCTGACTTGAAGATCGTAGGGAGAACGAAGTTCAGCATAGCCCACAGTTCCGTGAGGTTGTTTTGCAGTGGGGTACCGGTAAGAATGAGACGATAACGGGTTGTGTAGTACTGTGTGATGGTCATGCTGAGCTTCGAACCGGCGTTCTTCATACGGTGACCCTCGTCGACAATCATGTGTACCCACTTGATCTTGCTGAGGACTGGTCTGTCCTTGATGATGAACTCGTATGTGGTGAGAAGAACCTGGAATTGGCCCCATCGAATCTGTTGCTGGTATTGCTTACGCGAGTTGGGAGGACCCTTGTAGACAATCTTGGTGACGCTTGGTGCCCACTTCTCGAACTCGTTGGTCCAGTTGGTCAGAGTACTCAGCGGTACAATGACTAGGTAAGGTCCTGGTTGTCGCTTCTTCTCGATAAGGTAGGTGATCAAACTGATGGTCTGAATAGTCTTTCCAAGACCCATCTCGTCTGCAAGAATACCGTTCAGGTTGTTGTTGTACAGGGATATCATCCACTGCAGACCCTTGAGTTGGTATTCCTTCAGGGTACCTCCAACCAAGTTGGATGCCTGCTCTGTGACCTCTTCCTTGACACGATGAGCAATCTCATAGTAGTCAGTCTTCTTCTTGCCCGGACGATCTTCATCACCAGACTCGGCTTCGCTCTCCTCTTCGGGCTCCTCTGGCTCGTATGAGTTGTTTGCGGATCGCTGTTGTGCCTTGACGGAATCGGCGAGTTGCTTCAAGAAACCATCGGTCTGCTTGAGCAGGTGCGAAATACGGGTATCCTTGGCTTGGCCCAAAAGCTTAAGGTAGGTCTCTTCGTCGTTGGACTTGAGAGCCTGCAGACGTTGCTTCGCGGTGCGCTCGATGCGCTTCTGCTCTTCCTTCTCGATGTTCTGGTGGGTGGTGATCATGGTACGACCAAGCTTCTGCAGACGCATACGCTGAGCCGCGCCAGATTCCTGCAACTCGTTGCGGTGCTTGCGGATAGCATCGATGAACTCGTGGTGCTTCTTCTTCTCCTTGGTCTCGCGTGCGTCGCGTTGTTGCTTCTCCAGCTTCTCGGTAAGACGGGCTTCGCGCATCGATTGCTTCTTGAGGCGTCGGTATACTGTTCGGTTCGCTGTCATGGCAAGGTTGTCAGCGTGGATCATCTGCTGGGCGATCTCTCTCCGCAGTTTCCGTTGCTTCTCCAGCAGGTTAAGCTTCTTCTGCTCAATGACTAGGGCCAGTTTGACCTTTCCGTCATCTTCGGGTGTATCGGTCTTGCTGGTATCCCAAGAACCGATGTTTGCGTGGACCTTCTCCAGTTCGGCCCTCCTCGCAGTGAGACGGTTGTAGAGGAGGATTTCGCGCTCCTTACGTATGTCTTCCATGCTCTGCTGGACCGCATCCATATCAACGCCCTGAGGCATGATGGTTGCGAGGTATGGTCGGTTCTTGCGCTGGGTGTGGGAGATATAGTTCACATCGCGGAAGGCTTCGCTGCTCCAAGGATCGATAAAGGTATCGGGAAGACGAGGTAGAGTCCGGGTTTCCTGTACTGCGCCGCCATTTGCGCTCGAGGCGCTGCCTGCACGGGTGGCATTGTCGAGCATCTGAGAGGCGGCAGCTACCGCCTCGGCAGCGTTCTGGGGCTTCTTGGCTTGGTGGTGACCAAAGATCTGCTGCTGCATGTTAGAGGGTAACGGAAGACCCTTGGATAGATGCTTGAAAGCTCCAATCTGGGCGCGCAGCATAAGGAGTTGATCTTTATTCAGCGGCATTGAACCAGCCGTCGCCGATGTGGGGGTCTGTCCGTCGCCATGAGGAGCTTGGCCGCCAGCAGTCGCAGTCTGGATGGTGGTTGAAGGGCCGCTCGAGGCAGGCGCAGGCGTCGCGACTTTGCCCTCAGTGGGAGCAGCTGGCTTGTTGCCGTTAGACATAGCCATGCCGGCGCCGTTCTGTTGTGCGCCTTGGGGGTTCATCTGGCCTTGTTGGCGCTGCATTTGCTGTTGCCGTAGCATCTTCTGCTGTTGCTGGAACTGATTTTGCTTCTGCACCATGGTGAGAAGATTGCGCGCCTTGATGAATTCAGGATTGGTCTCGGGCACGCCTTGCTGCTTCATCCGGGTGTAGCTCTAAAGACCGTGTTAGTAAGCTTCTCGAGCAAAGGAAACTGCTCAGGGCGCAAGGGAACACGCGGTTGAGTGGCAGTACGTACCTGGAAGACCTGCTGAATCTGCTCGCGCGTAATGTTCGCAGCGAGGGAACCCTGCCCCGGCATTTCTGGATTGGCTTGAACCGACGCCATGGTGATGGTGGTTCAGTATAAATGTTGTGGTGCGCGGTGGATAGCCAAGATGCGAGATGTCGACTCTCGACGCGGTCGCGGGTCGAGGTAGGCAGCAGTCGCGCAATTATGAGGGAAAGACAGTCGCGGGCGGGATGGGGTGCGCGTGCAGCGATTCTATAACATTATCGTGCGGCGTCGTGGTGGTGGCGGCCGTTGTGTTGATGAAGCCGATGAAAGACCTTCGGGGGTGCGCCGTTGGCAGAGTCGCGTTGTGTGGTGAGGCTGAAGGGGGTGCGCGCAATTTCGGTGGGGGAGGTGGCAAAGGCGCGGGCGCGCTCTAAAAGCGTTGGAAACCGCTATACGCGTCGTGGACAGCGTGTTGCGGGGATATTGAGATGCGGGCGCAACTGGGAGTGATATCGGGAGTGGTGTTGAACGTCTGCTGCGGCGGGCTGGGACGTCCTCTAGCCTGGAGCGTTGTTGCGTCGCAATCGAGTTAGCGGCTTGGCAGTCATGTGATGGCTCAATTGGGGCTGTGGCCAATCAGCGCATAGTGGGCGTCCTGCTGCGCTGCTTTCACTCCTCCTCGTCCGTCTTCATTCACGTTCACTGAAGCAGTGGTTGTGGGGTAGACAGATAAACAACGCGCTTGACGTGGACTAGTGCCGAATAAGCCACCGCATCGGAGGCGGAGGAACGAGTGGAGTGGGTGCCACGTCCACGACCCCTCTAAACCTGCTACCACAGTCCAGCGAACATCAAACCCCTCTCCCTTTCCTACCAGGCCTGTTCCCAGTGTTAATCTCGGTCAGGCATGCTTAAATCATGGACTGAGGTGCCTCAACCTAACTCTACGCCTGCCTAGCGACTCTATCAGCTAAAAAGGCCTTGGTGGTGAGAAATCTGGATTTGCGCTGAATGACGGTGTGAGGCTCCCATCGCTCTGTTTACCCATCTGCAACGACATTCTATCGCGTACACACATATACGAAAGGCCAGGCAACCGAAAACATCTCCTCCTCAATTTCTAGTGCCCGGAGAATTTTGCTTTTTGATCGGCGCATTCATCTAGTCAAAGCGTAATCATGCTGGCTCCAAGTTCAGACTGGGCAGGGTTCTACGACCAGGGCAGTCTAAAGATGCTACAATCTTGGCAAAAATGTCATTCAGCTACGGACTCAATGCCAACTATGTACATATCGAGCCCACATCAACACTACTCTTTTGCGATATTCCCACGACTAGACCCATTTCCTAAGTGAGTGTAGGTGCAGTCCAGTCAATGTACGTCGCAGCATCGGCACCAGACGGGCCCTTCTCGATGTTGGCAGTGTTCGAGGTCTGGTTGAGCAGGAATTTGTTGATGAACGCGGTAAGATCAGTCTGCTGGTTGGATGGGAACGAACAGTGGTTATGGTTGCCAGAGCCAGTGAATCCCATGTTGTCTGGCACACCGAGAGCCTTGTAGATGAGGCGACCAGCCTTCATACAAGCAGTAGTAGAAACGGGACCGAGCCAGTCAATCTCGTTCTCGATGACCAGCAGGCCACGAGGAGCAACCATACCAGCGAGTTGATGATGGTCGGTAGCGAGGGTGTTGGACTTGGTGCTGAAGGAGTTGAACCTCGTGGAGAACCAGACATTTTCGCCGACGATCTGGCTGGAGGTCTGGATATTCTTCCCCTTGGCCTTCTCAGAGTCGGAGATGCGCCAGCAGGCGGCACCACCAGAGCCAGACTCCTGGGGCAGACCCAGAGCGATACGGTCAACGAGCGCGGCCGCGACGAAAGCACCCTTTCCGTTGCGAGAACATCCAGTTACACCAACGCGCTTGGGGTCGATGCCAACGCTAGGAGTGGCCTCAAGGGCATCGATGATGCGGTCCACACCCCATGCCCAGGCGGTGAGAGCACCCGCACTGTGGCTGGAACCGTACAGGTCGAAGAACTTGCCTTTTCCACGGCTGTTGCCACCCTGTTGCTGAGCGATATCGTCGTTGTTGAAAGTGATGGTCGCGACATTGCTTGGGACTGGGAGACTGGCAGCACCATATGCGATGATGGCAGGGAAAGGGCCAGTTCCGCTGGGCTTCTTAATGGAGACCGAGAAGGAAACCGACTTTCCTCCCTCAGTCGAGGTGATGGAAAGAGAGGAGCCAGAGAAGGTGGCCGTGACGCTTGATGGTTTCTTGGGAAAGTCACCGAGCTCTTGTGCCTGCATGGCAGCGCTGACCTCCTTGTTCTTGCATGCGAAATCGGCTTTCGTAGTAACAGCCCTTCCGTCGAAGAACTTGAAGGGGTTCGGCAACTTGGAGTTGGCGGTGGAGGGAAAGGTCGTTGGGACAGTGCATGTCGCGTCCTGGCGTTTCTCCGTAGCCGGTGCCGCAAGGACGGTCGTAGCGAGGAGCGGGAGGACGAGTGAGTATTTCATGGTGGGCGATTCGGTGATGTTGTAAACCTTATGGACCAACACTAATGATGCTGGCGGGTTGTCGTCTCTTATGTAGTGACGATGACCTCCACAAGCATTCCGTGTTCCCGCGGGGAAATATAGCCACTATATGAATGCATGAGTATGACAAAGTGAGCTTCGTAGCGTGACTGCTCTGCAATAAAGGCAATACGTCTTGGCGCCTGCTGGTCTCCTTCATGCTCGCCACGCGCTTGAGCAGGGGTTACCATAGCAGAGTATCATGGTTGCTACATTTGCGAGACCCATCTCTGGTGTAAGTGCTAGAGGCTATTCAGTAGAGACTCGTGTAGGATGATATACTGCGTTTTCGTATTATGCCATTGATACAGTCTGGCATGAGAATGTTGGATACACAACATCTCCCATGTAACTCATGCAAACATCTACGGTACTGCCTTCAGCAAGTAGCACAGCCTTTCCCTGCATCGACAGCTCATTGATGGGAAAATTAGTCGTCATCTGTATAGTCGGTGTCATCGATTGGAGTACGAAAGTTCCCTTGAGCCGCGAGGAGACCGCCTCGCACTATAACACCCATGACCTGCCGTGTCTCCCAAAACGAGAATTGGCCACCTGAACTATGTTCAAATCCGGGTATTGTAGACTCACATGGGCATGGCGCAGTGAAGCGGATGCCATGCCAGGACATCGAAATGGACCTCGTCACAACGTGAGAGTCGATTGGACGCAAGAAGACGTGTGCACTCTAGAAGCCCTGGCTCGACCATTGAATGGAAATTAATACCGCCATCGCGGATTTCTGTGCTTCCCCACGTTGCGGGGTGCAGTGGGGCTCTTTCTGAAGTGCCGTTTAGCCTGTGCGACGGCCATGCAAGATCACCCGGCAGTATATGATCGACATTGATTCCACTATGTGTAGACCTCTGATCAGTAATCCGTGGAGACATGTTGTTACTTGTATCTTCAACATCCTGCTCAGAGGTCCCTCCGTGGGCTCAACAAGTAAGAGAACTGCAACCTATGCATCCAAGTATCAGCGTGGAAGGGCTCTTAGGAGACGCTGGATGAGTTGTCGCGCGCGCTTCATTGTTATTTGCAGTTCTGGCACTGTGCCAAAGTTCTGCAACACCCGCTGCCGTTGCGTTTGTTCTAGTACCGGAGGAGCCCATGCCCCTAGTATCGCAACATGCATGAAACGGCTATGAGTCTCGCATTTCAGAGAGACTTCCAAGGTCGCGATCGTTGTTGCTGTTCGCGAGAGGTGAGATCGAAAAGCTACATTGTCTCCGAGCTCTTTCTCTAGCCTAGTAGGATATATGGCGTTATCTTGAGGTCGCGTTCACCTTTGGGAATCAGCTTACGCATGGATGCGCAGCGTGTAGGAACGAGAGACGGTTCTAAGGTCAGGGAGAACGAGTTCTGGTGATGGTGGTAAAAGTTCAAAACAGCAACGTGGAAGGAGCCCTGAAGCAGCGGGAAAGACGACCCGTAGTCGCGCTTGCCAGAAACCCTGGCGCTAGTGATCGCGGCTTCGGCACCCCTCCTGCGGCCTCACGGGAGTTTCAGCAGCGTCCACGAAATCTTGAGGAAAGTCATAAAACCGAACAGCGCTGCGCAACAGTATCAGGTGTGTGTTCGTCATATCATCGTCATCTTAGATCAAACGAGAAGGAAGCAGAGGTGAAGTCTGACTGGCTACATTGAAAGCAAGTGTAGATTTCAAAGCAGCCCACCGCTCATTGGCCAATCGCCTCTACCCTCCCCATAACCGTACATATGAAAAGAGCTCTCCCATCTCCAACGGTCGATACTTTCAAATCGGCCAAAATGTCAGGCGAGCGGCAAGCAGCAGACGCTATCCGCTTCTACGACTCGAAGTCCTGGGATTACGACGCTACCTGGCACAACGATTTCACCAGGCGGTTCATGTCCTATCTCGATATTCAACCAGGGCAACAAATACTGGATCTGGCATGTGGCACCGGGCTGTTAACATTCCGCGAGGCAGAGGCGGTAGGACCACAAGGGCATGTCATCGGAGTTGATGTCACTCCTGGTATGCTCGCGGTCGCTACTCACAGAAAGACCCAAGGAGGAGACAAATACGCAAACACAACTTTCCTTCAAGGCGACGTCCTGCATTTAGAAGAGACGGAAGTGCTCAAAGGAAAGCAGTTTGACGTCATCACAGTGGCTTCTGCTCTGGTCTTGTTTCCCGATCCAAAAGCTGCTATTGAGCATTGGGCAGGGTTCCTGAAGCCTGGAGGCGTCATTGCCATGGATGCGACACATCCAAGGAACTTGGTCTCCGGCATGGTACTCGAGAGGGTTGCCCGCAGGTTGGAACTTCCTATTCCATACAATCGTTCATGGAGCAAATCAGAAGACACCTTGAAGCAGATGCTGGAGTCTGCGGGCGTGGAGGTAGATCAAGTTGTTACCGTAGAGAGTCAAGCGGGATACGGCCGACGCACTTACGAGATGGAGCAGTGGGACGACTTCTTCGTCGAGAACGTTATTGTCAAGGACGTTGCGAGAACGTTTGCGAACAACGACATTCGAAGGAAAGCGCAAAAGATCTACAA